TGCACTTTTTCCAAAGCTATAATATCCTTTTTAAGGTGTGGTGACCAGAACTGCACACAGTATTCCAAATGAGGTTGCACCATTGATTTATATAGGGGCATGATGATATTGGCTGATCTGTTTTCAATACCCTTCCTAATAATCCCCAGCATAGCATTGGCCTTTTTTATTGCAGTCACACACTGTCTCGACATTTTCAGTGAGTTATCTACTACAACTCCAAGATCTCTCTCTTGATCAGTCTCTGCCAGCTCAGACCCCATCAATGTGTATTTATAGTTAGGATTTTTGGCTCCAATGTGCATCACCTTGCACTTGGTCACATTGAACCCCATTTGCCATGTTGACGCCCACTTGCCCATCCTTGACAGATCCCTTTGGAGTGCCTCACAAACCTCCCTGGTTTTCACCACCCTGAACAACTTCGTATCATCTGCAAATTTAGCCACTTCACTGCTTACTCCCAACTCCAAATCATTAATGAACAAGTTAAAAAGCAGTGGACCAAGTACTGATCCCTGCGGTACCCCATTACTTACCACCCTCCACTTAGAGAATTACCCATTCATACTAACTCTGTTTTCTATTAATTAGCCAGTTTTTGATCCATAAAAGGACTTGTCCTTTTATCCCACGATTTTTGAGCTTACTTAGGAGCCCCACCACGCACCAGTGAACTCTGAAGCAGCCGGCAAGTTCCTCCAGAAGTGGGTGAAATTGCCGTCAGCTCGGAGTTTACTGGCACACAGTAGGCTTACAAAAGCCATTTAAAGGGACACTCCTTTTAAATGGCTTTTCCAAAGACTCCGAAGAAGCTGGCAAACTCACCCAGAAGTGAGTCACTTCCGGATAAGCTTGCCACTTTGGTATAGGTATAGCTACCCAAATAAAAGCCTTTTTTTTTTCTTTTGCTTTTATCCCGGCTCAGCTATTTGGTAGCTACTCAGATTCCCTAGTCTGAATTCAGTTTAATAAATGCCCGAAGAATACCAGTAACATATTTTTCAGGTATTTATTCAACTTGGTTTTTACCTAGCGCACACCCCTACTTTTCATTACTTCTACAAGATTTAACTGAACCCTAGGGACTATACCTATAGTTTGTGGAAGTAACAGTAGCAAACATATTAAGTAAATATCCAAGCAAGCTACTGCTTAATTACATTAGACAAATGTGTATTTTTAAACAAACTCAGCAAACAAATATGATAAATGTGTTTTTTATTGGCCAACAGCCAACACAGTATTTTAAAACCAGCGAATAAAACCTCTTAAATATTATAAAGGCAGCAGATCTATACTTTCTACTCACATACCCAACAACACAGATCATTTTGGGTAGTGGCAAAACCCAATATCTACTTAGGAACCTTGCTACATTGCACTAAATGTGCAGCAGAATCAGAAAGGAATTCCACACAAATAAGTCTAGCTCACCACCTAGTAGTGCATAACACAAAATGAGTTAGGCAGCCAAACCACCTTCAGATTTCCTGGCTATACTACACACAATACCATACGATAATTATTATTACTTATTATCCCACACAAGCACCGGTTTCTCAATTTGCTCAGTCAAAAAGGGCTGTAACCACCACAACACCATGACATGCTACTATAAGAATTGGACCTCTGACGATTTGGATACTCACTGGTGTTCTGATGTACATAGCTTATAGCCCTGTTTCTTTGTCTGCTTGCATATTTCCCTAAATGCTTTATCTTTGTGTTCTCACACTGGTTTTTTGTTCTCAAGCTGATATAACACATGCTAGCTATGAATCAACTATACTGTCCTCTGACATTCCCAGGATGAGGAGTAGTTGAAACAGGCTCAATTGTCTATTATAGATAGTGCGCTTGGTACACTGGAATGAAATCCTCCTTCACGATGGCCAAGAGATTGTTCGCTTCTCATTATGTCTGTTGGCCAGGCAAGAAGTCTATTCGATAAACATTCTCACAGTATTATTTGTTCTTTATTAACCTGTCTCTGTCACATGTAACCATGACATATGAATGTAGACTGCATCAAAGTTCTTGTAAGAGCTAAACTTGTATTATCTGCCATTACTGTCAAAGCCTTTGATTCACCTGCAACTTTCCTGATTGCTAATAAAATCCTTAAACGGACTTATCACATCTGAGAGTTACTGAAGAGTCTTACAGATTGACAGCTACCTATTTGAGCCAACTGGTCCAGAAGAGCAGCACAGCACAATACTGAAAGCCACCAAGAGGTCTAGGAGAATCAACAGGCTCTCTCCCTGGTGAAGATTATCCATCAGGGTGGCCAAGGCAGTCTCTGCACCAAAACTGGACTGAAACTAAACTGAAATAGGAGCACATAATGATTACAATAGTTCATAATGTACAAAGCAGACCCTACCATTAGTATTCTTTTAGAGCCTGCCTGTTTACTTGAAGCATGGGTTTAAAAACATTTTGACAATGCTGTACTGTGATGCATTAACAGATTTCCAGACAGAGTGGTACCTACCAATTGCCGTCGGTTTCTTTTCCAAGTCTCTGCTTTCCTTTTGGAATTCATATTCTGAAAAGCTGAAGAGAAATTCACAGGTAGATATTAACTGTTTTTAATGATTCAAGATTTTGCTGGTATTCTGAAGAAGTAAAAAAAATTGGCCAATAGTTAACTCCTTTCAACATGTTTCCCCAGTCCTTGAACTCAGGGGTGGGGGAGACTAGAAGTGAAAAAAGAACTATACATGATGGTAGCAAGACACAAATACAGCGTAAATTAGCCTACATTTCTAACAATGGTAATATTGGACCCCAGTTATAGGGTTAGGGTACATTTCAAAATGGGAAATTTAAAATAATTCGCATTATGTTTTTAATCCCACCCTTTCTTTAAGGAGTTCAGGGCCATGTACATTGTTCTCCACTCTTCCATTTTATCTTCACAACAACCCTGTGAAGTAAGTTAGGATGAGAGAGTGATTGGCCCAAAGTGTAACCATTACATCGCACTGGTTCTCTTTTACTACTTCATCTTTTCTAAAGACTGTGAAGAGGATTTCAGACATGTCAAACAGCAAAACAGAGGAAGGCAAAAAAAAAGTAAACATTCTGGAGAATTATCACCACATTTCTGCAGTTACATAAAGGCCAACCACCACTACCATTCAACTTCCCAAACACTGAGCCTAAGTCCTGATTTGAAGGGACAAGACCTCAGAAAGAAGAATTTCCATGTCTGGACTTCCAACAGGAAGGCCAAAGTCACAGTCAGCAAGTGTTAACAACTTTGCTATCACTACAGATGCTCATGTTCACATTGAGAAATGGATGGTACATTTTACGCATGCCCAGGAGCCACCACAGAGAGATTCTCACATGACTTGCTTAGCTACATACTCCTCCACCCCATTCAGTGACCTGGGCACCTGGAACTTTGTACCCCACTCTCATTCCAGCATCCTTGCCTGTGCCTGCAGGGCACCCCTTGCTGGCCTCCTTCCAGGGCTGCATCTACGGCCTGATTTACGTGGCCGTGCCGTGGTCAGATCTCCGAGCTGCAGCTCTCAGGGCATTTAAAATAATTTTTTTAAAAATGGAATAGAATAGAATAAAGAAGGAACCTTGCCTTGTTTGGGCCCTGGGTGGTGGGTGGCTGCAGTTGGTAAGGCTGCTGGGCCCACCCCCCTCCTAACCCTTTCCCTTTTCTTTACTCCCCCCACCCAATATTGTCTCCCCCTCCCCCCCTCCACGGCTCTGTGCAGGGGCTTTTAGAGCAATGCCAGCACTTTAAAATGTTTTAGATGTCTAAACGTTTTATCTGTTTTTAGGATGATTTAAATTTATGTGGGTGTTTTATTCTATTGTAAGCCACCCTGAGCCGGTCTTGGCTGGGAGGGTGAGGTATAAGTCTAAATAACTAATAATAGCTTATTACTACTTTAGCTCTGATAGCTAAGACAATAATGCCTATACACCAAAGCTGTATCAAAAACGGTTTCTTTTGAACAAGGAAACTGCTGACTGCCAAGAATGCATTTTACAAAGAGATTCAAGAGGGACTGCCTTTTAGTCTTCAGCAAACACAGAAAGAGCACACAGAATAAGCACATGGACTAGCTAACTGCTACAAACATATCAAGTAGTTATCTGTACAGAGAATACTGTGTACAGAAAAAAAGCTTATCTGAATAACCCTTTTTCTTATTGTTCTGCTTTTCTCTAAGTCCACCTCCCTTGTCTGTTAATTCAAAGAATTGGTATCATTAATGTTGGCAGTTAAAGGAAAAACATTTTCTGACTCTCACTGTGCCGTACGCATAACAAAAAGAGAGTTTGAGCAAAGAGACCTCTGCATGAAAGACTTGACAGAAAGGTAATGCAAGGTGAAAGGGACAGCAAATTCCAAGTTCTCTTTGCTATGACTTTCTCACTGAAGTTGGGGATGCACAGCTAGAGTGCTCTTTTGCTATCAAATTCTAGCAAATGATAATGACTAATAGTTTTGAGTCCAATTAAACTGGGACTCTTCAAATGTCAGTGGATGGCAGTAACATAAATGACAGTTAGGAAAAACAAATTCCTCTAATACTTCACTTATCCGGCAAGGCTCAATAATGAACAGGATTGGAGAGGACACATCTTCTCTTGAGAGACTAATCAGTATTTCGGGTATTTATGAGAAGTATTTTCCCTAGTTTATGCCAACATAGAAGGCTCCCAGAGGTCTGTACTGGTGTGACATAACTTACTAAAGTCGCTGGGAAGACTGTGGCTCAAATTTCTATAGAACTCAGTTCTATGAGCTTTCTTTAGTCCAGTGCAAAGACCAAAGTCTGATAACTTCACATGTCCCTACAGATGAAGGGGAAAAACAAAACAGGAGAAGATCACACCACATATACTCTTCAGACACTGAAAGCGTTTAACTATATAGATTATATGTCATGACTATGGATTAATTGGATTGTGCTATTTCCCCAAGCCCAATGTTTGGGGGGGGGGGGAGTGTTTAATTTACCTGCATTCATTCTTAATATAGCATGAAAAAGAGTTGTGCATTTCAAGGGTGACTGCAGGAGATAATGAATGGCCTCAGCAATTATCAGCTGAAATCACCTGACCTCTTATAATAAAGAAGCATAACCCCATTAAATGGAGGAAGCCAAACAGTACTTCATTGCAGTCAGATTTCCCTGATTCATTTTCAAGATGACTGTGGCTAGTTCACACATGCAAAGCTTGATTTCTTCTTCCACATGATCATATGCATAGATGCACTGACTACATGGAGAATGTGTTGACAGAGATAGCCAGAAACATGACTGCACTTTTCACAGCAGCTGCGATCACAGGAGTCAGTGAGGCTCTCTACAGTGAGATTGTGGGGAAAATGTCATAATGGGATTGAAACGGAACTTGAGGAAAGATCCATGAAATGATTTTATGTTTCCACTGGTTATTGTTTGTGGTTGGTTCCAGAAAAATCTACATTTCGTTTACTGCTGCTTTAAAAACAAATCAACAACAGGCAGATAAAATCTCTTGCTGAAACCAATTCAGAGCCTTCACAGTATTTTTATAATTCTGTCAAAACAGTTTACAGTGTAACAAGGCCACATTACCATACTAAATCGATAAACAACTTAAAAAAAACCCAAAGTAGTATTTTTCATGAAAATGGTAAACTATTAAATCACAGCCAGTTTAAAATGATAGAGTACGCTTGACCTTACATAATCATGGGGTTTGAGCCCATGATTTGCAGGTGCAGGGAGTACAAGATCTTCCCTGCCCTCCCCTTGCTCGGAGCTACCTCTGACCCCTGGAAAATGTATTCCTGGGTAGAGGGACTTGTACATACTACCACTAATAGTAATTACCATATGGCATTGTGTGTGGTATAGCCAGGAGATCTAAGATTATCTGGCAGTCAGAAGTTTTTGCTCTTAAGCGTTATGCACCACCAATCCACTGCATCAGTCAAGCAGCACATGCAAAAGGCAAAACCCGCAATTTCTCCCCACCCCCACCCCATTACAGCCACTCAAGTGGTGCAGCTATTAGTACATGCAAGTCCCTCAACCATAGGAAGCAACTTTCCTGGCACTGGAAACAACCCCATAGGTAAAGAGAGGGTGGGGAAGATCCCAGACTATCAGTGCTTTCTCCTGGTGGTTCATAAGATCAAAGCCATAGTATATAAATGTGACTATTATCTTGATATTTCGAGAACATGCTCAAGAACAACATCAGAACATTTAATTGGCAAACAAAACAGAATTCAACTGTGTCATGAATCTTTTGACACTGAAAACTGAACCCCGATTCACACACTTAAAACTTCCCCATGCAGTGCAGCCATACAGTGAAGCTCTGCTCCTCAATTTCTCCCATTAAAACACGGCAGGAGTCAGATGTTGTTCCCACCACACACTATTTTATCATAAACAGCAGGATGCATGTATGAATTACTTTAAAATTAATCCACATAAGTTCACTTCATCGAGTTACTCTGTGATGCTATTCCATATAATGCTCTTGGAGTTTACGAACCAAATAATGCCACAGAATACAGTTTGCTACCACATTTTGACCAGGAATTACTTGAAAGTACTACCAAGTAAACATCACACACTTACTTTACTGTCCAAAAGGAGGTTATCTGGCTTGATATCACGATGAATAAAACCCAGCTGATGAATTGAATCAATAGCTAGCACAGTCTCTGCAATGTAAAACTGAGTTTCCTCTTCTGTTAAGGTATCTTTTTTCATCAATAATGTCATCATATCTCCTGTACATACAGATACCAGAAAGCAAAAGATAACTGAATTCAGCTCCTCTGTAGATGCCAACCTTAGTTCAATGTCAATTCTACCAAAAATTTATTTTGTGATCTCATCTGAACCAAACAGAGCCTCTCATTTGCCCAGAATACCACCATTCATTTCTTAAGTAGATTCTTAGTTTCAAAAACTACATTTCTTCCCTAGCACAGGTGAAGAAACAGACACAATCTCGTACTGTTCACACAGTTTACTGTGTTTCAGAAAGCCCTCGGCAGGTTTATACGGTGAAGGGAATGGGGGGGGGGAGAAACCTATAATTGCCAGTTAGGATGTCTAACTCATCCCAAAGTTCATACTCTTATCATAATAGCAGGTGACTTTTTGAATATGCCCTTAATTTCACCAGTGCCATCAAAAAGTTAAAACTATCTGAACATCACATTTTTAACTTCAGCCGAAGCAAACAGATATGGGTGATTGCAAGTCACAGCTAAAATAGCTGTTTTGAAGGTTGGTGTTACACTATTGCTATACCTACTGTGTGTTAACTTTCCTCTCATTACTTCCTACACATTAACAAAAGCTTTTCTGTTATTGCTGCGTACAAACACTATAAACGAGAGGCAATCAACTCAGGGTCTTTAGATTTGGTTGTTTATTGCCTTCTGGTAGCTGCAGCATGGGCCAGCTGATGAAATGGCTACAGAATGCAAGAGTTGCTGTGGGTCCCAGCCATAAGAGCAAAGCACTGTTGATGCAAGTCAACCATGACTCTGCTGCTGGCACAAAGACTGTGGTTCTCCACTATTTTCTCCACTGGCCAGTTGGACAATGGCCTTCACCTTGGCGGATTTAAAGAACTGGGACACAGGAGCTTAAAAAAATCACTCTACCCCAGCAGCAGTGCAAGTCAGGGAAAGTCACTCCAGTGAAGGAGTTAACCAAAGGCAGAGGGGAGGAGAGAAAAAGGAATTCAAGATTGTCAGAAGACTGATTTCCAGACAGCACTGGCAAAGAAGCCCAGTCCAGTGAAGCAGCCACATTTTTTTTTGAGGGAGGGACAGTAAATACAATCTCTTAAATTATGAGAAGCTGGCCAACCCACACAATGTTCCCCCCATGTCCTCTCTTCCAATCAGCAGCTGCAATAGTGGTGACTGAGATTTTATCCATTAACTCCTATCTGCAGCCAGCGCTGCTGCTGGAAGAAGAAGAGTTGGGGTGTTTTCAAAAATACATTTTCTCATTCAAATTAGTAAGTATACACATCACATAAGGGAAAAAGTGGTTATTGAGGAACTGACACTTTACTTTTTGGTACTTTCACTTCAACAGAGTGGTGAATTGTCAAGGCGTTGGTGGAGAAATAGGAAAGAAATTCAGGTGGGTTTACCTAGCACATTTCGGGTCTAAAATCTGCCAGTTCACATCTGAAGAAATTATGCTGCAATTGTGTTATGCTGCAATCGTGTTTGTAAAAAACACAGACACATAAGACACATAGAAAAAAATCAGCTTTTTGGAACAACATTGTCAAGATTCTGAAGAACAAATGGAATCACAATACCAAAGAAAAAGGCAAGTGTGGAAATAAGATTAAAGTGGGTTCCACTGCTAAAAGAAGGGCCCCAAATACTTCCAAGACATACGGTGACACACTGGAAGTCTGATTATGCCACTGAAACATAGCTTTACTAAAGTTGGTAAGATGTTTAGAACAGGTCAAGCTTCAGTTCCTTCCACTCCTTCAAAGACACACATACCAACACCACAAGCACAGCAATGAAATCTTATTACCTGCAAGTTCACTTGTGGAAGACGTTTCATGTAGTCCAAAACTGCTTTTCATGAGCACTGCTAGACATAACTGATACCTTCCTTTAAAAGGCATTAGACATCTATCAGCATGCCCTGAAGTAGCTCAGTAACAGTGTCAGAGCCTATATACCCACAAACTGAAGTGAAGCTTTTACATGTATGACTGTGTCAAAAGAAGGATTAGAAGACGCGTGGAGGGCAGGGTACAAATCGAATAAATAAACACAACAATCTTTTATCTTAAATAATTACCTCCAGGCAGGAACTCCATTATTAGGTAGAGGTTTAGCTTATCCTGAAAGCTATAGAACATTTTTACAACCCACAAACTGTCTGCCTCCACTAGAATGTCACGCTCCGCCCGAATATGGCCAACCTGGGAGGTAGATATATGCATATAATTACAAATTTGCACTGCAAAAATGAAACATTTTCAGTTGCACAGCATTTGTGAGCATTTGGACCAGATGACCCCTAGCCAGCAATTAATTTTTAACTAATTTTCTCAAGAGCTCACTGATTCCATCCACCAATTTGCACTGAAGAGAGTCAAGCCCTGGCCTCTAAAGTAGCAAAAGACAATGCTGGTAGAGCTCTCTATTATATATGTTCATCAGTAAATAAGCCAAATTCACAACTAGAAAAAGAAATAAGCATACTTAAATAAAATTAGTGAATAATCACTCAGCAGCTTAAAATCATGCTAAAAATAACTTACAAAAGATTAAATAACTACAGTTCAGCATCACTAACATATATCCGGTAAAACAAATTCAACAGTCAAAAGAATTACCTCAAACCTTCATATGTGAGAATTAATATATTAATATTATTATTAATCTTTCAATGCTAATGGTGGAAGTAGGGAGCATTTTAAGAAGGGTCACCCACGAACATACAGCTCTGGATTTTGATTTTAAGCAATTTGAGCAAGATAATTGAGAGGGCAGTGGCAGCTCAGTTACGGAGTTTTCTGGATGACGCTTCCATATTAGACCCCTTCCAGTCCTGCTTTCGTCTGGGCCATGGCACAGAGACAGTACTGGTCACCCTCACAAACGATCTCCGAAGACATTGGGATAGAGGTGGGATGGCGGTGCTGTTGTTGTTGGACCTGTTGGCAGTGTTCGACACGGTCAACCATCAGTTACTAGTCCACCGCCTCGCCGACACTGGAGCCCAGGGACTCGCCTTACAATGGCTTGCCTCCTTCCTCCAGGGCCAGGGACAAAGGGTGGCACTTGGGGAAGAATTATCCCAAAGGTACCCACTGATTTGTGGAGTGCCTCAAGGGGCGGTTCTATCCCTGATGTTATTTAACATCTATATGCGCCTCCTTGCCCAGATTGCTCAAAGCTATGGACTGGGTTGTCATCAGTACGCTGATTACACCGAGCTCTATCTGTTGTTGGGTGGCCAGTCAGACTCTGGGCCGGAAGATTACAAGCCGTGGCTGGATGGCTTAGGCTGAGTCCATTGAAACTGAATCCGATGAAGATGGAGATTCTATGCCTAAATCGTAGCGGTCTGGGGTTAGGGATCTCACTCCTGACCTTCGATGGGGTGCCTTTGGTGCCAGCACTAGAGGTTAGGAGCTTGGGAGTGCTCCTGGATGCCTCCTGAACAATGGAGGCCCAGGTAGCAGCCACTGCCAAGTCAGCCTTTTACCATCTTCGGCTGATTAGGTATTTGGTTCCCTTCCTCGAATGCAGCAACTTGGCAATGGTAATCCACACAATGGTCACCTCAAAATTAGACTACTGTAATGCTCTCTGCATGGAGCTGCCCTTGTCCCAAATTCAGAAGTTGCAACTGGTGCAGAATGTAGCAGCCAGGCTGCTGTTGGGTCTCACCCCACGAGAACACATCCAGCCTGCGCTAAAGGTATTGCACTGGCTGCCTATAGCATACCGAATTCGCTTCAAGGTGCTGGTGCTTACCTATAAAGCCCTATATGGTCAGGGGCCAGCATACCTGAGGGACCACCTTTCCCCACATGTTCCCCAGAGAACACTGCATTCAGGGACACAAACCTTTCTGTAAGCAACAGCTCAGCCAGAGTCTGCTAATGAGGGGGAGCAGGGGAGGCATTTAACAGAGTGGAGAGAACAGCTGGGGGGCAAACTGACAGGAGCCGGGAGTGAACTTGGGAGGAAGAAAGAGGAAGAGGGACAGCACAGAGGAGAGGGGAGAGAAACAACCTTGGAGGAGACGCCGGCAGAGGCCAGAGAGGGACCGAGACCGCAAACAGATAACAATAGTGACGCTGGGGAAGGGCCTTTCTCCAGTGTCGGAGGACAGACAGTGAAGCAGCCAGGAGGGGTGTGTCTCACTTAGAACAGCCAACGAGGAAGCCAAGCCGATGGGAGTGTCAGAGCTCCAAAAGAGCCTCCCTGCAGACTTCCCAGGACTCAGGTTGGACTTGAGGGGGTAAGGGCCCACCCAAGGCTGCAGGCTTCACTCTGGGGAAGCGAAGACAGGACTGGGCACTGTAAAGGGGTGGGGTGAGAGAGCACTGGGGATGAGAAATAAACAAGAGACACATGACTGGTGATGACCCTCATAGCCGGATGCTGTAGGGACTTCCCACAGCTTCTCTAGGGCTGAAGCCATTAACCTCCGACACCTTCTACTGCTCCCTGATCCTAAAGAAGCCAGACTGGCCACTACCAGGGCTAGAGCCTTTTCTGTGGCAGCACTGCGCTGGTGGAACGAGCTCCAGAAGGACACCAGGACCCTGCAGAGTTTACTTCAATTCCACAGGGCCTCCAAGACGGAGCTCTTCCGCCAGGCATTTGACCACACTTAACATCTTGATAACTTGGAGCCTCCCTGGGATTGTTTGTATCATCTAAGTCTGTACTAACTGACTCCTGTTAAGAAAATACGGGATTATGACTGCCGTCGCATAGGAAATATATATGTATTGCACTTTAGATTTGATGTGTTTTAAACTGTTTTAACACTTTTATGTAAGCCATCCTGAGCGTGCTTCGGCAGGGAAGGCGGGATATAAATCCAATAAATAAATAAATAAATTATTTTATGGGGAAACCACTTTGATGTATTTGGGAAAGGTCTATAAATATTGGGTGGTGGTGGAAAGTGGTGTCAAGTCACAGCTAACGTCTGGCAACCCGCAGGGTTTTCAAGGCAAAAGATGTTCAGAAGTGGTTTGCCATTGCCTGCCTCCCCATCACAACCCCAGCATTCCTTGAAAATGTCCCATTCAAATACTACCTAGGGCCCACCCTGCTTAGCTTCCGAGATCTGACAAGATTGGGATAGGCTGGGTTATCCAGGACAGGGCTCTAAATATCGTAAATGAATTAATTTGATCACTTCTAGATTACTGAGGTTTCCCCCCAAAGTTTCTCCCACGCTTGCAGGGATTCCAATTTACTCAGTACACAATAAAATGGTAAATTAAAACATCCTAATTATCTAAACAGTGCAGCAACCAAGAATCATATATTAGTCAAACATTAAACCCAAGTGTGCTAGGACTGCTACATGCTATCAGTATTTACCTGTTCTTTTTCAAGCATGTCTGCTTTGCGTAAAATTTTCATTGCATATACATGCCCTGTGTCTTTTTTCTGAACAAGCCGTACCTAGAAGTTGTACAAAAACAAATGAAAACATTAGAATCCCTTTCAGGCATTTTTATTTCCCAAGTTAAGGCTCAAGGCAACATAAATGAGTGGCAAAACACACTGCAATACTGCAGAATGATACAGAAACTTTGGTTTCTATCAATTTAGCACAGATATTGCCAACTGCCATTGAACCTTTAGATTCATACTGAACTAATTACTACTTTTTCCTCATGACAATGTTCACAATCAATTATGGCAAGAGACTCTGGAAATATATTACAGCAGCTCATTCATCTGAATGGCCTGGGCTGCATCCAAAATATCTGGAAAGATTTTTTAAAAATGCTATTCATGTACCATGACAATAGCATGGGGCTACTTGTGGACACAAAGCAAATAAAAACTAAACATTTCTGATAATACATTGTTATCAGGTTCTGATTTTCCAATAAGCCAGACCGTTTTCGCCAACTGATGCTTAGAACATTCTCTGAATTTTGGGAGCAACCACATATAGGTTAAGAAATTAACAGAAATGACACAGAGCTCAGCAGGAGGATTTACTTCATCTGATAAGACTGTGCACCATGATTATTAATACAGGTATTATGCCCCATTTTAAAGAAAAGAACTAGTTATATCTTTTCTTTGAAAACCACAAATGTGAAGAAGCCAGACATTATATATTGCAGGTCCTAAAACTATACTTTGAACAGGATGAGAAACACAGCCTTTTGCTGTAGCTGGACTAGTAGTATGGGAGAGGCAGTAGCTGTTATTTATGCTGTTTTGTTTACAAGGCAATTGTGTTAGTCCCTTGGTCTCTTACCTCTCCGAATGCCCCTCTGCCTATTACTTTTAAAGACTCAAAATCTTCCAACCCAAGTCTTGTCCTTTTTAGGCGCAGAAACTCTGTTTCTTTTCGGGCATGTGCTGACCTCCTGATTCTTTTCTGTATTTTTTTTTAAAAAAGAAAGTTTAAATGAAATTTTGCACAACACAGACAACTTGTGGAGCCTAGCATTCAATAGCTGAAGTTCATGAGCAATGGATTTCTAGAAAGCATATTTAGTTAGAAGCTTTAGTATATGCAATACCTCTTCATCTTTTAAACCTTCTTCTTCCATCACTTTTTCTAATTTCTTTTGCCTGAAAAATTAAGAAATTGTGAATGAGGTATTTGGGAACTACAATCTGGTATTCCAAAACTCTGTTAACAGTACATGATCAGAATAATGACAGTGCTTCCATTTACACTTCTGTTAATCAGAATCACTTCTGTTGTATGTGCTCTCTATGGCTACCACAGATACTAGATAGGCTGCCATATTCTATACCCTATACCAACTGTAATTTCCAAGTAATTTCCAAGGGCATCCCACATACGGCATGCTACAATAGTGAATCCTCAAGGTTACTACAGGATACCCAAATCAGTAGTCTCCAAATAAAGGGAGAACTTTTAGGCTAAGTTCAGCTAGGGAAAAATTGCATTCTTAGTCATCACTGTCACCTGTTTGTCCAATAACAGAGTGGGGTCTAATCAGACCGCCAAGCATTTAACGTTGTGTGAAACTCCATCTAAAATAGGTAGCACAACCCTCCTTTGTCTAATAAGAGGCAGAAAACAGATGAAAGCTGATAATTTACAACAAGAAATATGTAATTTGGTAAACATCAAGTCTGATTTCAGCTTACAGCTAAAACTCTTATTACTTGGGCCAGGATGGGATACTGTCATGAAGAAGGTGTACAGGAAACAGTTACAGCAGAAGCATTCTTATGACAGAAATGGAAAAGGCTACTCTACAGTACTAATTTTACATTTATAACACTATCACAATTACAGATGAAAATGGAATACAAGTTTAACACAATGACCAGGTTCTTAATTTTAGCTAGATCTGTCTAAAAGAAATGGAAGTTATTGAACTAAATTCATAATCAATCATGAAGGGATATCTTAGATTTCTAGGGATGGCTTTTGCAAAACTTAATACATTTGGTACTACTAGGGCAACACCACGATGAAGCCCTTGACCATTTTTGGCACAAAGCCTTGTCTAAGTTGTAATATATACTTGTTCCACACTACATTACAGAGTTACACAGCCAGGCTGCTACACTGCAGCCTCTGCTTCACAATTACTTCCTCCCAGATAAAGAGCTTTTAATTACTTTACACCCAAGCAAATGTACATTACAAAAGCCTCAAATTACATTGGTCATCTATGAATAAATGAATGCTCGACTATAAAAGCACTTCTGAAAAAAAAAATCTGAAATAACTCTTAGAATGGTTGCAACAGCTGAAGTAATACATCAGAACAAAAACGGATACAAATACATTTATTAAGGATGCAAGACAGGACAGGAATAAGTCTGCTGCAGTGAGGACCCATCAGCTCAAGAATATCTTTTATTCCTCTAAGGCAGTGAGTTTCTATCAATACCTACAAAAGAAAGCTTCCCATATCAACTGACCTGCTAAGGAATCCCTGCATTTACAAAGGATTTTGAGGTATATTCCAAAACATACAATCAGTACTCTGGCCAGATCTCCTGGACCTCAGAATAACAACGGGCAGTAACTGCCCCTCAAGCTGCACACTGCAGGGGACAATTAGTAACGGTGGACAAATGGTTTTTCAGGAAGATTGCTCTCTATTATTGGTCTTACTGAAGAACTTGAAAAGCTTTCCTGGGATACAGCGTGAAAGTCTCTCCAGGGCATTCAATGGTCACAACACAGGCTATAATACAGCACTCTGCCACATTCCTGTTTGCCAGGGAGAAATATAACTGAAGCACCCATCTTCCCCTAACTCTCAGCTTCAGCAGTACACTTTTCCCATCTAGAAAGTGCATCCTGCACTTACTAAATTGTTTTCTACTTGAGAAATTCTATGCTGTGCTTTGACACATCATGCCCTACACTTCTTTGCATCGTTTCTAATTTTTGTAATCCCTGTTGCATCGGTTATTGATGTCCCAAGCTATTCAGCGGCATTGTTTTAGACTGTGTATTTCACCTGCAGTCTCGGTGAGAAAGGTGGGCTATAAATAATTAAGCCACTCCTATCTTGGCCTTTTAAAAGCAGCAGGATAGTTCCACACTACTCAGAAGAAAGACTGCTGCAGCAGAATATGTATGCTGTTTCACCCAGCCCTTTAAGTGTCAGAACGGGAATACAGCATTCTTTCCAGCCAGAAGAATGCCAGGGTGGTATTAACAAACGATCAGAAAAGGAAGTTGTGGGTGAATAGATGGTTGCTGTTAGCGGAAGAAAGAAATCAAAAGCTACTTCCTGGACTAGATGTTGGGTGGGGTTGACTACTTTTACAGAATTACAAACCCAGCCATGCAAAGTCTCAGGACTTAATGAGAGTTTTTTCTTCCAGGACAGAATTCTTAAAGTTCACAAACTGGTTTTCTAAGTGTCATGGCTTACTCATTTAAAGATTTGTTTCTCATTTTCAAATTAAGACAAAGTCAATTCCAGCAAGGCACACCTGCCCCCACATAACCACTGTTATTTATTAACATTTATAGTCAATCTTTCTCACTGAGACTCAAGGCAGATTAAATAGTGTAAACCAATTACTGAGACTCAAGGCAGATTACATAGTGTAAACCAATTCAATCAATCTAATAAGCAATGGAATAGGATTAGGACTGCAGAAATCTGAAGCAAAGCAATTTACATGTGCCCCCACATAACCACTGTTATTTATTAACATTTATAGACAATCTTTCTCACTGAGACTCAAGGCAGATTACATAGTGTAAACCAATTCAATCAATAGGATGACACATCTAATAAGCAATGGAATAGGATTAGGACTGCAGAAATCTGAAGCAAAGCAATTAACATGACATGTTAACCCATGCAGAAAACATGTTAACCCATGCAGAAAATGGCATTTCATAAGTATAAAACAATGCACTGAGAGTAAAAGAATACATACAGCAACAGATAACACATGCTATACACTGGAGTATAGTTCACAGCCCCACTCCGTTCATTAAAGCATCTTCCCAAACCATTCTGTTATAATATAGCCCTACCCTATTACCTTTATAAACATGCCCTCCTGAACAATTCTGTTTCATGTAGTTTGTGGAAGTGTGGGAGCCTTCCTGACCTCCTCAGGCAACCTATTCCATAATATGGGGACCACAAAAAAGAATACCCAAGTACAGACAGCTGTTGTGCTTGCCCATTTGCAGCGTGGCACCTGCAGAATGGGTTAACGGCAAGAAGCCAGAATATAATCTCCACCCAGTTCAGAGGCTAAACTAGAGTACTGTTCTTCAGTGTTGGTTTGGAGCAGAAAGTAGGCTGCAGTGCAACCTATGTCAAGTTACACCACAGGCAGCACCACTTTTATTTGTTTTCTTAAGAGGAAGTGAGAAGGTGAGATAAGGACATGGTTAAAAGAAGATAATATATAGAAAGTCAAGGTTAAAGGTGAGCCCTACGTCTGGAAAAGGACATGGCAGATGACACGTGGACTAAAATTTTCATAGGCTCCAGTCACACGGGCAGGAAACTGCAGGGGGGAAGCGTGGCTGTTTGCCCCGGGGCAAACTAACCCGCGGTTAAGCGATCAGACCTCCTGTGGAGGTCCTCTGGAGGTACCGTGGAGGTTCCGTGGGTAGGGAGCGGTGCCGATCACAGGACACGCCTGCGCGCAACGAAGAAGCGTGCGGTGCGGCAAACTGGTTTTCTTTTTTTGTGTACACAACAAATGCGCATGCTCCGTTGGGTGCGTGTGGGCATCCACGGAGACTTGGGGGGGAAAACGAAGCGCTACGCTTCCCAGATGTGCCGGTGAGATCGCGCCCGGAAAATCCGCCTGTCTTCCGTCTCTCTTGCGTGGCTAATGTTCCGTGTGACCGCAGCCATAGATTCTAAGCTTACTACTTCATGAAATAAGCTCTTGCCACATACAAACAGAAATAGAAATGTTTGTCCTACATTCTAGAAGGCCCAAGCTACTTGTAAATTTCATACACTTCTCCTACAGAGATGGCCCCATTACAATTCATATTCTGAGTGTATATTAATTTCTAGATAACCATATAAAAAGTTGTGACATATTTCTGCCTAAATTGCCATTGTACAGGTAAAGCCTGAATATCAGAAATTAGGAGCTTTGGACTAGGAAAAAACTGTTTTTAGCTCTAGACATCATGGACTCCTGGCCTGGAGTGCTGAGAAGAGAAGATGGCTGAGGAATTGGGGCTCTCCTTACTCCAAGAGGTCTTGCCACCGTGAAGCCGTCAATGCAACTAGAGCTGACCTCCGGAGGAAGTGGACAAGTGATCCAGCATGAATGAGCTCCTGCAATAAATTAAAGGCAATAAAACTGAGTTAACTGATCCCCTCTACAAGCCGCTGAGCCTTTAAGGTGAACGGCAGCAATTCATGAGATAAGTGGCGGGCGGGGGAGGAGTTGGGGATTCCCCCCAACCATGAAATTAAATGGTTCCTGAACAATAAACTGGGAGGAAAAGAGCGAATCTGATCATGAGAGACAGCAAACTAGACCGAAAGGTGCAAAATAGTCCAAAGCGTTTTCAAATCGGAGAACTTTCATTTTAACTTTAAACATTTTCTCCTTGTGTAAACAATGTCTCGTACAGGGAGAAGAATGGTGCCGGAAAAGAAGCCTCTCACAAGAAATAATCAACCAACGACTCCTTCCCAGACACAGGAAGCAGCTGCTGACTTTCCTAATATGCTGACACTGGCATTGCACCCTCTGCTGGAGAAGATGTCAAATATTAACAGCAAGCTGGATGGAGTCCAAAAGCAATTGACACGGATGGATAAAAGAGCAGATGATACTGAGAAAGCCATTAAGAAAGTTGAGACAAAAACAAAACATACTAAACAGAAACTGGAAGAATTGGAAAAAGAGAGAATCTCAGATAAAGGTCAACTGTTGCAGCTCCAAATGGAAAGATCAATGTATGTCTTGCGCTTTCAAGGCATTCCAGAACAAAAAGGAGAAAATTTAAAAGAACTTTTAATCGAAACATTAGCACCGATGACAGAACTTAAACAAGATGTACTGCAAAATGATATGGATCTGACTTATTGGACTTACTCAGATTTCATCAAGAAAAATAAGCTACCTGG